ATGCGCTGCGATGACACAGGACGAACAGGCTCAGGCCGTACAGTTGCAGACGTTCCGCTTCGCTCCGCCCTGCCCCGCCCCGCTGCGGCCCGCTCCAGTGGCGTATCGTACTGAAAATTACACGCAAATTGCACGCAACACGCGAAGCCCGCAAAACTTCGCATGGAAATATGACGGCGAAAATGCCGCTTATGCATGCGCGATAGTTCCCTGTCACAGGCGAGAAGCCTACCTATCCCCGTACCGCCACCATCCAAAACTCCCTATCAGCATTAAGTCATGCGTCATCCTTGACGGGCGACACATGCGTGTAAGTCCGACTATCGCCCCTGTGCAGGAGGCACTTTAAATATCTTTATGCATACCATAAATACGTTCTTAAATGCTAATCCTTAAATGCGAGAACCTCACCCAGTCCCAGCTCTACGCTAGGTGGGCTAGGTGAGTCAGCTTGGAACTCGGCTGCAGCCACTTATCTCGGCTTCACTTGTAGCTGGCGGTCAGGCTAGGAAATGTTGCGGTTGCGGTCGCTGAATTGCCAGGAGGTTCGCAAAGGTGCCCCGAGAACAGGTCAACAGCCGTTTACAGATGTGGATTACAGAGAGTTAGAGAATATTTTAGTTAAAATATATACTCAGAGCTAAAATCAAGCTATTTGGTAGTTGCTTATAAATGGATCATATTTTAGCACCTGAATTTTACATTCATTCTGCAAACCCCCTTAACCATCGCACTGCGAATCAAGAGTACAAATCCACGGTTCCAGGGTTTTTTTCTGATAGCTTGTAAAACTTCACAAATATATAGATTTGTTCACATCTGTTGTTTAAGTATACATATGCATATTGAAATGAATACGGATTTTAGAAAACAAAATCAAGTCAAAATAATTATATTAACTTTCCTGCTCTGCTGCAAGTTAAACAAACAGAATATGATTTGCTATCGCCCTTCTTTGCGATTCTCATGTATTTATGACATCACATAATTGTTATGTTATCAACGTTTGCTGACAACCTCTCTCTATTCTTCTTCCTCTCTCCCACTAACTTCTGTTTCCAGGCTTCAATTTTAAATTTTATCCAAAGTTTCATATTAAATTTATCCTACAATTTCGATTGCAATGTATTTTTCGTGTGCCGTTAGCAGCTGGCTGCCCATATTTTTGCCATTGTTTTTGACATTTTTATGGCAGGCAAAATACCAGCAACAAAGAAGAAAACAATTTAATAAATATGCATGTGTGTGTGTGTGTGTGCTCATATGGCACATTTATATGGCGGATGGGCTCTGGCCGCAGTTCACTTTTTAATCACTTTTCATGAGCTTTTAATTACATGCCCGTCGTTGGTCCGGGGAAAGAGACCTGTCCGTTCGAGCGAGTGTGTCCAAAATTTATGAAAAACCCAACGCATAAAATGCTTAACAAGCCCCTTAAAAAAAAGAAGCAAGGAAAAGCCTAGCCTTGCCCAGGAAATACCCTGTACTCAAAATGTTAATATGCGTATACACAATATTTGGTTTATTTTAAATAATATTTATAAAATTTTATTAATATTTGAAAATATTGTAAATGAATTGAATATTACACAGTATATTGACAGTAATACATTATTTATATAAAAGGGTTAGGTATCTGCGGCTATGAAAGTATTCGAGATATAAACGATCTCTGCTGATGCTGATCAAGAATATATACTTATATATATTTTATAGGCTTATAGATGTATATATATACGTATATAAATTCTCCTCTCATTTCCGTAATAATAATGTGTGAAAGGATATTAATTATGAAACAAGCGAGCGGCAGGAAGCGCTGGCAATAAAAACAGCAAGCGACAGGCAACAAAACCATGCGTGACCAACAACAACAACAACAGCAACAAAATCGGGGGGCAATACTCATTACAAGAACAACAACAGGAACAGAACCAATTTTGTATATATTGTATTTTATGCGACTGGCCACATGGCCAGTGGGCGGATTGGAAAGGGGGCTATGGGGCACAACGGAAACGGGACCAACATGTGCAACATGTCGAACGGAAGTGTCGGCCATATTCCGCACACACACACACACACACACACACACGCGCGCACACACACATGTTAGCCTAAATAGGCGCACGTCTATCAGAGGCAGAACCAGGACGAGAGTCATTAGGAGCTGGGGCCAAGTAGATTTTTATGTAATGTCGCTTGGTTATTGCTTTCATACATTTATTTTATTTTATTTGCCACACACACATGGGAACACACTCTTGCACACACGCTTGCACACACACACACTCATTGTATGCAATTTAATATTTTAGCTGCTCATTTTTATTATAAATTGTAGAGTATTGGAATGATTTATTGATTTGTCTTAGGGTATGTAACGCACTTGCTGTAGAATACAACAAAAAATCCTTCCTATGAATAACAAATTTGAAAAGAAGAAGAACTTCACAGCTAATCATAATTTGCAAACAATTTAAAACAAAAAGGAAGGGAAATGAAAAAGTATTTGGTTTACATATGTAAAGTAAGGTAAATTTCTAAACCGTTTCGATCGTAAACTCAGGTGGAAATGGAAACAAGTGAAATTGATGTAATTAAACCCAAAGCCAGGTGGGAATGTAACGCAATTTAAATGAACAGTAATCTCTTGGAATCAAATGGAATTTAAACGAAATTTTTATAAATATTTGGCTACACAAACCTTTCTATAGAAAACATAATTTCAGAAGAGTATTAAATTACAGCTTATTCGGGTAATATTTAATTGTCCAAAGAAGTTAAATGTCACCGCTTCAATCATAAGGTCAGGTGCGAAAGGAACGTAACTTATATTACATTTGGATTAACATATATCTCATGGAAAGAAGTTACTATATATCGATAAGAAATTTATAAGAAATATTTGGCTAGGCATGGAAATTAAGCTCAGTTTCTAAACCGTGTCAATTGTAGAGCCAAGGTGGAATAGAACACAATTTATGCAACAAATTGACAGTTATTTCTTGGAAACAAGTGGAATTGATACAACATTTATATCGAAAATTGTCTACACATCTGAAGAATCCAATAGATAACAGAATTTTAAACGTTTTCCGAACGGTTTTAATTGAAAATCTAGTTGGAAATGGAACACAATTAATGTTTCACTTGAATTAACAGCTATGTTCCTGAAACAAGTGGAATTGAAGCGAAATATATATAAACATTTATACTAGACATTCAAGTCGTTAAATTAGAACTTTGTTGAGGAATGCAACAATTAAATAATTTGTGTTAACCTGCAAGAAATTGTGCAAGGTATTCGTAATTCGCATTCTTTGGCCCAGGCCAAGGACCAGGAGCAGGATGAGAACAAGGAGCAGGATCAGCAGAAGGAGCAGCAGCTCGCTCGCCTGTCAATGACAGCGCCGTCGACGTCAACATCAACGTCAACGCCGACTGACGTCCGTCAGAGTTCTGTGCGTCAGCGTCCGTTGAGCACGTTGCCGCTCCACGTGACACCGACGAGGATGCCAACGATGCCAAGGATGCCCCCAGTCCACATTGCGGCTGCCTTCTGCGTGTAATTGCCGTTGTAATGTCGCCCGAACGCGAATATAATTGCTAAAATGTTGCCTCCAACCGATAGACGTGCCAGTGGCCGGCCAGTCGCCGGTCGCCAGTCGCCGGTCGTCGGTAGCTACGACACTTTTCCATTTGAATTTAATTTTAATTTACGCCCAACGGCCGTTTTTTGCCCCGGAAATTGGCAATGGCAATGCCAGAGAACGAACATTCCGCACATCCACACGCACACACACACACCCCGAGCACAGCCTGACCAAATTCGAGACGAGTCCTGTCCGCACCGTTGAGTTAATGAGTGAACCGCCGGCAGACATTTGTGCAACTGGCCAAATTGTAAAAGGAAGTCTAATTGAAGCAGCCCCCAGCAATTAGTCGATAAATTGAAACTACCAAATTTAAATAGTCAGTCAACCATTTTAACAAAACAAAAATTAAAAAAATGGAAAAATTCTCCTCATTCAGCAGACTTATTTGAATATATAGTCAATGTGTACCATTAATAAATATATACATATTGCTTTATAATTTTCCACTCTTGATTAACACAGATCTTCTGCTCCACAATTAGTTATACCCCTTAATTTTTCTCATTAATAATCATGATCATTTTCTAAGCTCGCTGAGTAGTTTTCCGCTGCTCGAAAGTCGTGCAGTCATTAGTTGTAATGACAATTAACAAAGAAATAAAAATTAAATAAAAAGATAATAAATTATGCACATAAAATACCGAAAAGTGCATACCCTAACCTGGTGCCCCTTGTCTTTCTTATTTCCAAGCACCCTCTCCATTATTTCTTGTTTTTTTATATATTGTGAAGGGCATTTAACTGTCTGCATTTTGTGGGTCTCTGTAAAGCTGTAAGAGTAACAGAACCCAACAAATATTTATGTATGCAAAGATGAGGAAAATTTGTTTTCAAATTTGGTAAAACTATTAACCACGCTATGTTAATTTCATTAGCATGTCTCTGTCTTTCTTGTTTTAGTGACCGGCTTTTATATTTAACTTATTAATTGCGCTAATTAGCCATCCACTTAGCGTATCTTTACCGGATTTTCGGATTGTCTGAGACGGCACAGCCAGATCCCATTGTCTGACGTCAACGCCTTCGATCAAACGATGTCGCCACATTAATAAATCAGTTTAAATTAATTTAGTTGACAATCCATCGGATGTTTTTTTGCTTTTTGTCGAGACTTTCAGTCTTCCTAGCTGCGCATGACTAATGCTCGTTTGAAAATTGCAGACATAAAGACAATGGACACCGACCGACTGTGCCCTGAGGAGCAAGATGATATAGTTTCTCATACAAGAGCTTAATTATTAGACAATTGTTGCTATGTCAACTAATTTACATACGAACAGACAGACGGACTATATCGACTCGGCTCTTGATTGTGATCAATAATATACTAACTGGGCAGTCATTTGATACGACACACATTTTATTAAAAAATAATAATGTACGCTTACATTAAACAGGCAATAAATACACATATTTTTGAACATTTATGATGGCATTAAAATATATAAGAAATTAACTAGAATTAATATAAATGTGGATTATATCTGAATTTAGTAGCCAGATACTGCTTCATCAGCTCGTTTCTTTCTTGGAGTAGAGTATTTCGCTGTCTCTGTATTTCATTCGCCTCCTCCAAAGTGATTCGAATGGCGCGCAGCTCCTCGACACGCTGTGCCTCCAATCCTGTCGCAAATCCTGCATTCTCAACATCAATCTCTGGTTGCTCTTCGCTGATTCGGTTGGAAACCAGCTCCTCGAAATTGGGCTCGTCCATTAACACACCTGGATAATCGGTGTCGAGCTCTTCTATTTTTACCTCAACTCTTGGCTCAGTATCTTCCTCGTCGGGCTCCTGATAAGACATATCATCGGACGTTTCTGGGATGGTGCCAGCAAATATTTCGTCCATGGGACCAAAGTATTCCCAATTTGGCTCGACATCTTTGTTTTGGCGTTTGATATTGAAATAGGTGCGGCTCATGTTCCGAAATTTCCTATCCAATTTAATATAGCTGGTCCTATAGCCGTGCTCCTCGAATTCGCTGACAACATGCTGCCAAATCTCAGTCCGCTTTTTGTGTCTTTCGTGGAACTCTCGCTTGTACTTTAAATAGAGCCTCAAAAGCAGTTTGGTTTCCTTGTCGGTCCACTTGCCTGCAGGAAAAGGAACAGAAATTAATACGCAAAATATTATTTACAAAGAATATATATTTTATTTATGCTTACGCGTCATGTTTTTACGGAAAAATAAACAAAATAAACTCGACGTGCCGCAAAATGTTGATCAGCCAACAGCTGGCAACTGGCAGCTGGTTGCTGTGAATGATAAATATCGATGCAGCCAGCCATAAAGTGCACAAGCACATATATCGATACTGGTCCAGTTTATATCGATATGCTGCTATCGACACGCAATTGGGTGCCTACACGATATTTATCAGATGCGTGCGTTAAAATAGGGATGGCAATTGTGAAATTTGCATTTGCAAGGGTTGTTTCTATATTTACGTTATTGACAAATCGTATTGATACAAGCGCTTATCTACATTTGTATACATTTAGCATGCTCTGCTAAATACTCGTTAGCTGGTTTTATTTTTCAACATCCTGCCAAAACTCAGCCCAATTTTGCGGTTCCTTTTTGTTGCCACCTTCATCCGCATTTGCCTGCTCATTCTGCTGCATATTCTCAAATTCGGCGAGCTTTTGCAGTCGCAAATGCATGCGCTGCTCCAGCTCCACAATGCTCAGCGCCGAAGCCCGTTTGGCCTGCAATGGGATCTCGTCGGCCGTGGAAAAGTCTTGCTTGCATACCTTCGGCACATCCTCTTCACATTTGTGAGCCTCAATTTGTATTCCATCCCCAGCACCACCTACATAGCGCTGACTCGCAAGCCGCGCAAACGACTGATCGACTGTCTCCGTCTCATTCTGCAGCATTTTTGTCACCAGAATTGTGGCCCCCAGGCTGGATTCGGTTTCCTCGCTCAGTTGCCTGCATGAGTCTGCCATTGTTATGTTTGCGTGTATATTTGCTCTTTGTCTAATTGAAAAATTATATATAATTGCGCCCTTTGCTCTGGAAATGATTTGGAGTAAGTTATTTATACGTAAATCATTTAACAAGTTGTTCGCAGCTTGTTTAGTGTGCGTCGGTTGTATGTGTGTGTATTGGTGAGCTGTGTGCCTTTTTATTAGTGAACTTTTGATCGAAAAGCTCTGCGCTCCTTTGTTTGAGCTTTTGGCTTACACAGAATACGCCGGCTTTTAAGTGCGTGATGAGCTTTCGGGCTGACTTAATATATGTAATATAACTTTTTTGATGCAGCTAAATTTCCATTTGTATTGAGTTCAAAATAATTGACTGAATTACCAAATAAGCAGTTCATAAACTTGTGCATTTTCTGCTCCACCTGCTCCAAGACAAAATGCCAAGGTTCGCATGTTGTATATTGGCCAACCATCGAGCAATTTACAGTTAAGGCTAACTAACTGAAAAATATCAAAAGTTAGGCAAACAAACTCTGGACATGGTTGGAGTCGGAGACGGAGACGGTGTCGGAGTCGTAGTTGGAGTTGGAGTTGGAGTCGATGTCGGAGTTGGCGGCTGGTTAATGCTTTGGTTTCTGTTTGCTTTTGGCTTTTTGGGCTCGTTTCGGCTGTGGCCCATAGACTGTGTCTGTGGGCAACATTGGGCAATGGCTACACACCCATATTTCGTAGAAAAATAAAAAAATAAAAAATAAATTTGGGTGCGTTAGTCAAACACTGATAAAAATCATAAGCCATAGATGAGGAGTAGCGCGCACACATCGTACGTGTCTGAGGCCAGACATTAGGACAAAAGCAAGCTAAAATATATTAGGCCAATTATGTTTCACCACAAAATGTACAAGTACATGGCGTCAAGTGGCCTCGTCTTCCTCCTCCTCCTTCGTCTCCGTCTTCGCCTCTGCTGGCGATATCTCGATGCAGGCCCCGAAACGTGCAACGGCATAAGCGAACGCAGTCAACCCAAAAAGAGCTGAGCCCATTTTTCTAGGGTGTTTTCTCGCTCTCTCTCTTGTTCTTTCCTTTTCTTTTTTGTTATTATTATCGCACTCTTTTCTATTCCTATCTACGGTCTTGCGCCGTGCCGCCTATCAAGGCACTAGCATCGAAAGCGTCTACGTCTATTTTCATTTGTTCCTTTCAGGTTCTGTTTCTTTACATTTTTCTCTTTGTGGGCAACAAAAGGAAAAAGGTAGAAAAAAGAAGAGGGACACAGTCGTGCGTAATTAATTTTGAGGATTTGAATTCAGATATTTGGCGATAGCAACGCGTATATGTAAATAATTTCCATATCGCATGGCTGCCTGACACGTACAGCGTACCTGTCAATGGGTCTCCAGCTCAGATCTTGATGGTTCCGGGCAACACTTGGGCAAGAACTGCTGTCATTTCTTTTGTGGGTCACTGCAGTTCACTTGTTGATAATTAGGTGTCGAATTTCTCTATTAGGTGTCAACAGTTTTTAGGTTACACTGGTTAGGCAATGTCTAAGGTGCTTACGTCATATAATCGGATATTTCAATTAGTGCTTAGTCTCTGCTGGAGCACCAATTAAACTTGTATTATTACAAACATACCAAACTGATTGACTGACTGATTGGGGATCAACACACACAGCCCATCACAGCTAGGAATTTCAGTATTTACAGTGTGACCTTATCTGATTTAAGTGCACGCGAAGACAGTGTTATGCCAAATTGCACTCGCACATGTTTTCTATTTTAATTAAGTTTGAGCTTATTGTTTCCGATAACTTACCCCGCTTCTTTTTTTAAAATAAGAACGCCATTTTATTTATCGCCCTTGTATGCGATTCTCATGTATTCAAATATGCCTCACATACTTTAATGCATTGCGCACAGTGTATCTGTATGAATGAAATATAAAAGTACATACTAGTATGTTTCGGATGTAGCTATTCATATATGCTCTTTTATATCAAAGGCAGTCAAAGTTTACTTCCAACTGTTCTGTAATTTGCAAAGAATAACGTATTTTACACTATCGCCCTACTATGCGATTCTCATGAATTCAAGTAAGCCTTACATGTTGCAATGCATTGTGCACAGGCATTATTAAACTCAAAGTATGAGTTGGTAATCTAATAAATTTTATTTATGTATGTATGTAACATTTTTTATTGTAGATATATATTTCTGTGTATATATGTATGAATGCGTAATTTTATGTGTATGCATGTGTATATATTCACCTGGTCATGTAAATACTCTTAAATCAAACGGAGTTAAAGTTTACTTCCCGCTGTTCTGCTTATTTAAAAGAAAAACGTATTTCTAACTATCGCCCTACTACGCAATTCTCATAAATTTACCTAAGTCCGATCTTAAGACTAAATTCTTAGTGATATTTTTTCAAGCTGTGCTGGTAACGTGGTCAATTTTGTCTATGCTCATACTGTTACTTTAAATTACTCTCACCCTCTCTATCTTTGTCCTTCACCCTTTCTAAGTCTCTCTTTTTCTCTATTTATTGTTTTCTCCCCCTATCTATTTCTCTTTCTATCTCACTCTATTTCGCTCTATCCCAAGATTTCTAACTCTTTTTTTGGGCATTTAATTTGTTCTTGCTTTAACCCCAACTCTTCATTCCTTCCGGGTTGTCAATCTATTTATTGAAAATAAAAGGTGCGTATTTGTCTATTTGGGTAAGTTTATATTGTACTTGTATGTGTAAAAATAAGAATATATTTTAAGGCAACTCAGACCTGGCCGTGGGTTATCTGTTGATTACAATTAAATCAAATTGGTATTCATTTCAGCAGCGCTTAGTTAATAATAAATAGATTTTATATAGATTAGCATTTGGAGTGGTTAGCATCTGGCGAGTTTTCACCCTGATGTAGAATGATAAATGCGACCTATAAGCTTGGCTGATAAGTTGAAATTTATCAAAACAAGAAGGCCCCACAGTGTTTTGGGGGCATCATTTGCAGCGAGTGGAAATAGAAAATGACTTTCGACACGGTTATCAATAACCGGCTATCGATATTTTATGAAAATTGATACGGCGCAGTCGGCGCCCTGCAGGGCGCGCCCAAATAAATATAAATAATAATGGGCATTATTACAGTTTATATCATCCTAAATAGTTTTTTGTCTTTTCTTCTTGCCTTTCCCTTTGGTTTCTATGGTTTGTTATCCTAGAGTCCTTTGCCAATGCCACTCATAAGCGCACTAATCCGTCAAAATTTATTGCCATAACTGTGCCGGGCAGGCTGAGGATGTGGGTTGTGCACTGTGGAGATGAGGATGAGACTCAGAGCGCTTCGTCCTGGCAATTGATAACGTGCGTGTGAAATTTATCAAATAAATTGAGGCCATAAATGTCAAAGCTGCGCATGATTCATACACAGCGAAAGAGACATAGACACCGTTTGAATGAGTGAGAGAGAGAGAGGGAGAGAGTGAGAAAGGACGAGCAGATCCATTGCTGATGCTGCTTATTAGACAGCTTCCGTTGCCAATCAAGATGCCTGCCCATGCCCAAGTTCCCAATTCGCCTTGGCATTGCCATTAGCTGACAAATGTCTCGGTCAAATTTCGCGACTGTTCGCAATTTATTAAAAAGCCATCAAAAATAAAGCTTCAAAGTTCATGTGTGGGCAGCATTACAAATAAGCCGAGAACTGGCTATGCCGAACTAGGCGTATACCCTGTGCAAGTGAGGCGTGTTAAAAATCATAAAAGTTGGATTCACCAAATTTGGCGTTAAGGTTCTCACAGGATGTACACAGGTTAGGGATATTTCACCTTTCGTATACCTTTGCACGATATCTCCAAATCTATCGCACTTTTGTAAGACTTGGGACTTGGTATTTATACACTTTTTAATGCAATACTTAAGCCCTGAAACTTTTATAAGAATCGAATTGTAAACACTCGAGTTATTAAGGAACGAGTTCCTTAAATTGTGTGGCGAGGGAAGTTAAGAAATACGTAGGAATAAATTATATAAGAATAAAAATTATTTGTGAGAATAATTGGAGTCTAAACCATGAAGTCAAATAAATTTACATAAAAGAATAAAAGCAATTCTTGAGGAACGAATAAAGGAAACAGAATTAATTGAATTTGAATAGATGATCGCTTTAAGTTTGAGTTTTATTAGAAGCAAGCTCGTAACGCCAGCTTGTCGCTGGGTTCAGGGTATCTCCTAACCGGGTAGACCCGACTATTGCACTGTTGTCTCTCTTTGTTTACAATCAGAAAGCGTGGCGAAAAGGTGTAGGCAGCGGGAGTTTTTGAATACCCAATCTGAAATTTCATTTCGGGTTTCAGCTGAGGTTCAGCACAGCGTGTCTATCATTAATTCGAGTTCTGACTCGTTTATTTTTGCACTTCGATTGCACAAAAAGAGCAGAACACATTTTAACGCTATTATTAAATTTGGCTCTTTTTGCTGCTGGTTGAACGTGGGCAATGACAATGCATTGTGCCCCCTGTCGCAATACAAAAGACAGCGATTTTAT